GAAAAGGGAAGAACAATTCCAAGGATGGCTCAGCCAGCAGAGCCTCTATCTCCTTGGTTCCAGGCAGAAAGTAGTTTCATCCTGGCCCAGCCCTGGCTGTTGCAGACAATTTGACAGTGAACCAAAGAATAGAAGAACTAACTCTCCTTCTCCCTCTCTCTCTCCCCCTCTGCCTATCAAAAACTGACAGTGAAATTTTAATTTAAAAATTAAAAAGTATTACTTATCTGAGGTTGGCCCTAATCAAATGGCAGAGGAAGAGACAGGAGTGACATGCATAGCTACAAAATTAAACAACGCCAAAGATTCTCAGCAAACAACCAGAGTTAGAATAGAGTATGGACCACTTCTCCTTCAGACTTTCAGAACAACCTCATTAACAACTTGATTTCAAACATCTATGCTTCCAAACTGAGAGAATAAATTTCTGACATGTTAAGCCATTTGATTGGTCATACTTAGTTATGACAGGCCTGAGAAACCAATAGAAATGTCTACAGCTATACAAACATCAGGAATATTAAAATGGAAAGTGACCATTTGGTTTAACTTGCAGGAAACTAATAGCACAATGTATTGGAACAATAGTATTAAGTACTAAGGAATTCAAAATTGCATTATGAGGTGAGGAAGTGAGAATATTTAGATATTTTGTTATAAAGGTCCATCTAGGAATGGAAGAAGAGAGATAAAAGTGGTAATGTAAAGAGGATACAGTCAAGAAATGAATATATTAATATAGATTATCAGATGTTTCAAACTAATTCAAAAAGATAAAAAGAATGAGATATTAGAGAGAAATGGTTTGAAGAATATTTAGCTTAGCAGTTAAGAATCCTGTTTAAGATGCCTGCATCTCACATCCCAGTGCATGGGTTTGATACCCAGCTCCACTTCCTGCTGCTACCTTCCAACTAATATCAACTCTGGGAGTAATCACTGGAGTACCCATGTGAGAGACGGGACTTGAGTGTCTGGTTTGTGGCTTCAACCTGGTCAAGCTCTGGCAATTATTGACATTTGCATAGTGAGCCCATTAATGGAAGCTCTCTTGTGTTTATCCTTCTTTCTCTAGCTCTCTGTTTCTCAAATAATAATAGGCAATGGGTTTTAAAAAGAGAGAAACCACTTTCCCTTGGTTAATAACAAATGATGAAAACATGGATAAAATGCACAGAATATTAAAATTCTTGGCTGATGGTTTTCAATTTTGACAGAAAAACCGAGGACATTATTTGCTGAGCCTGAGAAGAAAGATGGAGAAGTGAAAGATTTGAAGAATAGATTAAACTTTGGAAATAGGAACTGATTGCAGGCCCACATGGAGAGTGTCTGGTAGAGTACAGTAATTTTTAAGGAGCTCCTGTCTGCACAATTAAGTGAAGTTGTGTTGATTGCCAGTAATACTCAGCAAGTTGACTGTAGGAGCCCAAAACTCACAGGGTGGAACTGATCCAATGAGATAAGCAACTCTGATGAAATAACAAAGGGAAGAAAAATATAAAGCAAGGTTCAGAGTGCTAGACTATAGGGATCTCAAACTGATTTAAAAAATCTCAACATGGTAGAAAAGCAATGAACATACTAAAGGAAAAGTGTGAGAACTGTCAAATAGAAGGTTGTTGTCAGAGACAGAAATCTGGAATTTTGACAAGCTGTTCTTCCCAAAAATAACTCCTCCACTAGCCATCAACAGTACCTAAAATACCACACTGTAATGCCTATTTTTGGAGGCCTGTCAAAATAAAAATTCAAGTGTGAGGCATACCACACTAAGTGTCCTTGAGTTGCAAGAGAAGAAATAACATGACAAGTATCTATTCCATTATAAATTGTTAGCAAAAAATTGTAACACATGACCTTTATGAATTCCAAACAAAAATATGCAGACTAAATACAACTTAGAAGATATATAATATTCTAAGCATAATATTTCATAATAAAATAAATACTTCTTGTTTATGAGGAATAGATAGTAACCACTCATATAAACTCTCATAATTTGTACATGTATTCAGTCCAACAGCTTAGTTTGCTATTATCTAAAATCTATCGACATCTCCTCCCAAGTCACCTACCATGCTGGACTCATTTGCCAGCATGGTCACATGCTTACATGCTCACACATACTCCCAGCTTTTAAATGCCATAGGTTAGGATCAAACTCTGCCTACTCTGGTAACCTACCATTTCCTCTACTTCTTGGATCCTTCCTTCAGTCGTTCAAGGCTAAGATTTTCTGAGTTCTTACGCTAAGGGAAAGAGGATGAAGAAGAATTAAAAATCCAGCTGAGTGGGCTCAGACAAGAGCAGGATTCAGAATCCAGAGCTACAAGGGACAAATTACTCACCAAATTTTCTTGGGAAACTTCATCTTTAGCCATTATCTCCTATACTTTCTCGGTTTTCAAAGTATAAGTAAGTCTTTCTTTGCATAATTTTATTCCATCCTCACAAAGCAATTTTTGAGAACTTGACAGAATCCAGAATCTTCGTACAGAGTTAAACGTTCATTTCTCTCTGCATCTTATATTCCTATTTGTATACCTGCATAAAGTAATAAAAGAAAAAAAGAACCTGCTATTCGTATCTGACTGTTTCATTGTTAACTTCCCGGTACCTGGAAGGCAGGATATTCCAAATATATCTGAGAAATGACAGACAATAAATGGTTACTGACCACCCTTATAGAATCCAGAGAGCCTCTCTCTAAGTAAGGTAAATATTCCAAATATATCTGAGAAATGACAGACAATAAATGATTACTGACTACCCTTAGAGCCTCTCTCTAAGTAAGGTAAATCTAAGAAGGGCCATTACCCAGATCTCTCTCTTCCCCAGAAAGGAAGAAATTCTAAACCCTTTTCATTATTTTTACTCTTATTTCTAACATTATCACTTTTTTATGCCAAATCACCTCTATTCTTCTATAAACCCATGGAAGACAGAATTGCAGAATTATACTCCATATTATAAGTAAAGCAGTACTGTTAAATGAATATATCTTTACACAACGAATATTACTATGTAAAGATTAAAATATCCTAAATACCAAACTACCACATAACTTATTTTGTAATCTTAAATAAGTGATATGTATCATATGAAAAGTTTAATTCCTCCATGTGTCATTAGGAAAGAAAAAGACTTTCATTTGTCATTCAAGTAATATCTAGACAGTAAATTAGAAGAAAGTAATCTTTCAAGAGAAAGTAGTTTAATTTAAAATTAGTAAGCAAGTAAAATGAAATTAAGTTTACCTATGATTTATTTTCATGGGCCTCTCTGGGAAGAAACGAGAAATAATAACATCTGTTAACTATCAGGTTGAGCATGCATTTATTTTGATACAGGGTTGTATCAGTATGATTATTTTCAGGTTGCCTCAAATTTATTTCCTCATAGTACCCCTTTAGCCATAAAATTGCAAGAGGGAAAACAGTATTCATTTGCAGTGATCCTATGTGTACACAGCAGGGTTTTGAAGAATATGTTCCTAACAAGAAAACTAAAGAACATAGAAGGCAAAACCACAAGCTGTTTTCTCTTTACATAACTTGCAGCTCAAATCCATTTGACCTGAAAACGTTTAGATGAATTGCAGGGTGATAACTAGAGAGAAAAGAGCCAGTGTTTGTTAGTTCTTCCTCCTGCTTGGTTGGTTGAAGGAAGTCAGCAGAAATTACTTACTCCACAATCATTCTGCAAATTGGAATTTTTAAAGTTTCTGCTTTCCAATGAGGATTCTGAGGCTCAAGGAATCTGAGTCAATGAGAGTATTCCAAATGGGTTGTGGAGAAATTGGATTTAAAATAACTTTTAATGGCATATAACAATTCTGAAGTTGTATATATGAGGAATCGTTAGAAAACCCATGGAGATGCATATTGTGAAAACACAATGAATGGATTTAACAAGTATTGCACCAAAATAAACATATTTTGTAATTCTATTTTTCCACAAACTCTCTGAAATGCCCCTATTTTTGGGAGATCTCTAAAAAATACGTTTAACTGAAACGCACTAGCCAAGAGATTTAGGAGAGAGTTTCATCTCTGGAACCTTCTGGGGACTGCCTTGAGGCAGATGCCAGCACTCACCACTTCATCCAGCTGGAGCTCCACCAAAGTGCTGCAGCTCACCTGCTCCAGGATGAAGTCAGGCCTGCGGGCTGCCTCGGGAATCTCGGGTTAGCGACTGTCCCGCATCCTCACAGTCAAGTACTGAAAACTTAGGAGACAAATGCCTGCCCAAAGCCACACAATCTGGTGTTTGTATGTGCATTGATCAGAGGAGGTGACATCGGGCCCAAAGGAAAGAAGTGTAAATCTCGCCGTCCTGTAGAACACAGGCACACAGGCACACACACACACCTTACACCTCGGGATGTCTTAGTTGCCCTCAGTGTGTTGGGATTTTCCAACCTGAGCAAACCCTTGCTTCAGTCTGAAAGGAATAAGGGTAAGGGGTGGAGGGGCTAATGTCTGGTGTCAAGAAAACAGGGAAAATGGGTGGGAGCGAGATGAAAAAGACCTCGAGATAAGAGAAAATTAACACAGAAGCAACCGAGCAACCGTTGAGTGAAATCCCAAAAACCAGTGACACCTGAGACCATGCGGGGCCCATGGCATCCCTGCCGGCCTCAGGCTACACCCTGGCACCGCGCGGTATCCAGCCTCCGCCGCCCTGTAAATCGTTACAAATGTCTGAAAGCAGGAGCCTCAGCAAAATACCTTGAAGTTAAAAGAAGAGAAATGGTCTTGGAAAGATTGTAATTGCAGCGAGGAAGCACGCCCGAAGCACACTCACCGCCCGCCAAGCCCCAGGTACTTGGCGCCGGCGGCGAATGTATTAGATTGGAAGGGCGGGAGGAGACAAGGAGCGCAATCCTAGCGGGCACAGGAGTTGTGAGGTTCAGCGCCCCCCGCGACGTCACCAAAGCAGGAGACTCCAAGAGACTATAAAGCGCGCCCGCAGCGCAGGATCCTCAGTTCTCCGCACGGCGCCCGGTAGCTTCTCCCGGGAGGGACCCGAGCTCCATCCCTGGGGCCCGGGAGCAGCCCCTAATTCTCTCTCCCCGAGGATCTCACCCTTCCCTTCTGCCAGAGCGCAAACTCCGCGGAAAAAGCGCTGCTCCTGATTCTTACCACCTGCTGGCTCAAAGCAATCGCTATAAAAAGCAAGGGCTGGGAGCTCCTCTCAGCTTGTTTCCAGGTGAGACCGAAGGCTTGCCCGGCGGCAAAGTGACCCTGCGGCAGAGAGGAACTTCGGGCGATTCGGCCGGCTCCACCCGCGGCGATGGACTCTTTCGCCGCCGCCGAGACCTGGACGGACGGCGCTGGAGGTGCGGGCGCCGACGGCCGGAACCTGAGTGCTGCGCTGGCGGCTGGGGCTGCCGCGGAGGCGCTGGGGACTGAGTGGCTGCAACTGCTAGTTCAAGCCGGTAACCTGTCCTCCTCCCTTCCATCCTCGGTGCCGGGACTGCCCACGACTTCCCCGGCGCCCTCGCAGCCCCGGGCCAACCTCACCAACCAGTTCGTGCAGCCGTCCTGGCGCATCGCGCTCTGGTCCCTGGCTTACGGCGTGGTGGTGGCCGTGGCCGTCTTCGGAAATCTCATTGTCATCTGGATCATCCTGGCCCACAAGCGTATGAGGACCGTCACCAACTACTTCCTCGTGAACCTGGCTTTCTCCGACGCCTCCATGGCCGCCTTCAACACGTTGGTCAACTTCATATACGCGCTTCACAGCGAGTGGTACTTCGGCGCCAACTACTGCCGCTTCCAGAACTTCTTTCCCATCACGGCCGTGTTCGCCAGCATCTACTCCATGACGGCTATTGCGGTGGACAGGTGAGGGGCAGGTGGCGGTTGTGGGACAAGGCTGGGCAGTGGGACACAGCTACAAAATGGGTTCTACACTACTAAAAGGGCTAAAAGTTGCTGGAGAAAGGCCACTAACAAGCTTGTAGCCCTCCAGTGGCCAAACCAGTTCCTGCTTCCATGGCTTTGCCCACTCCCTAACCTCCTGAGCCTTACTAAAGGGCAGCTAAAGGTTTGAAACAAGGCAGATAGGTGGGTGTGAAAATCTGGCGTCCAAGTAGGACAAACTCAGCGGGAAACTCTTCATCCTAGCAGACTTCCTCAAGTGACCTGGAACAAATATACAAAATGTATGTTTTCTGTAAAATGTACTCCGTGGTCACTATCCTGCCAGAGAAATGGGAGATGAACCAATGGGGCCCCTCTCTACGCTGCCTCCTCTGGTCTGCTGATCCTAGTCTCGCGGGCCCCCATTCCCTCACTGGGCCCTAAGGCCATCACTGCTTTGACCTCCACTCACGGAGGTCTATCAGAGACGGCAAGCTCCTTGCAAATGACTGCAGTCAGCTAGCGGTGCCCACGGTGTCTCAGAGTAATTTAATTTCCAGAATTCGGTAGAGCCTGTGAACTGGGCAAATCCTTGCCTCATGTGTGTTGATTAAAAAAAAATTTCATTGTATGGCTGCTTTAAATTTAGAATTTAATTTCTTGAATGTTTCCCCATCTACGATGGAAATTCTGAGACTATTTAGCACTTAAAAGAAGCTGAGTGAATCTCAAGTGTGCGTTGCCATACTAAAGTTTTTAAAAATTCTCCCTGTGGGGTGGGAGTGTGTGTATTGGATGTTATGGAATGTGCATACTTGCAGAGAGCAAATAGTGAATCTCTTCCTGGTACTGAAATTGGCTACGCTTTCGCTGAATAGTATGGTAAAATGGAGCACATCAGTTCAATCCAGTCTCAGCTTTGTGATTGACAGCTGCATGTGAGTTGCATAAGGCTGATGCCACTTAACCTTAAACGTAAATATTCTCATCTGCGTAAAGCAAAGCACACTTTTTTTTACTCACCTATTTCAAAATAAAATAAGGTTAAAAATTCTTACTATATTCAACTGTTACTGTGAGAAAGCAAGTGATCTCCATCAGCCCATCCTCTGTTTACTATTGAATTAATGAGCAGAATGGTATTAATAGCATAAATCTATAGAAACTGTATTTTCACATGCCATGCCCAGAGAGCGAAAGTGAGGGAGAAGTGGTGAGATGCAACTAATTGGGGTAAACAGAAAAATCACACTTTGCTAAAGCTTCTGAAATTCTCAGTATTCCTTCCCCTTGGTCTCTGGTTTCCCACACATAGTCACTCTTCATTTCTGCCAGAGATATTTGGTTTCTTTAAGTGTGTGGTTTTTAATATGATCAGGAGGAGATGTGTGAGCATATAATATTATAGAAATGCTCAGTCGTCTTAATGTTGAATTGAATTATAAAATTTGATGAAAATCTTATTGCACATGAAACTGGTACTAAAGTCTGAGGGGGCAAACAAGGTTATTTTTCCAGTTTCTTTTGCCAATATTTCTGAAGTAGGCTTGATGTGAACTGATAATGTAAGGCTACTTCATTACATTCACTGATTTTGAAAGTAATATATTTATTCACAACTTGTTAAAAACATCCAATCACTAAATCTATACAAAATAGAGCAGACAGATCTGAGGTGTACGATAAAATGATTGAAAAATCTGAAGTGTACTCTTGGCATGCTGAAAAGCCCTAAAACAGTTTAAAAGAACATTATTTGAGCAGTGAAAAAAGGAATGGAAGATAGAGGAAAATTTATTAAAGATAATTCTTAAAATCAAATGCTATACAAATATAACAGCAGTTATAATTCTCATTGGCTAACTAGTCCTCGGAGACTTTCTGCATAGGTGTCTTATCAAACAAGAGGTGGAAAAACTGCCCCTGCAATACTTGCAGTCATTTTCCAGGTGAAGTTTTCAAGGTTTACACCACAGAACGCTCAAGAGTGTTCTGGTTGCTTTAATTAGTTGCATCACCTTACCTGCCTCATTTATTGGAGAACATAGTGCATAGTATGTTTTCGAATTAGTTTTCCTATACAATTAATCCTTTACTGAAATAACACCTGACTCATTCTCATTGCTAAAGAACTACATTGTTAGACTGCAATGTGAGCACTTCCACTGCTCAACTGTGAGGCTATTTCATCTGCGTTTAATATAACCTGCATTGTGTCATTCCAGCCTAAGGAAACATGTTCAACTTATTCTTTCCCTTTACCTAGAGTCCCTGAAAAACTTTTCTTAATGGCCTAACATCCAGCTTCCAGTTCTACACATTGCTTTCTTGTATGGAAGGCTACTCATCAGCCATCACCTCTTCTACCCATCTCTACACATGGTGGAATTCCTTTTTCTTCCACTATCCTGCCCGGCTTTGCCCTTTTGAAATGTAACAATTAGGTATAAAACCCTTCAAAGACGCTAATCATAGAGCTGAGAGGCAAACCACTGTAGTCCACTCCAAGGGCCACTGTTCTCTGAACCTCTGCACTATTCTGCATCCTAATTATTTGTAAAGACAGTAGGTTTTGATAAGACAGTTTATTCAAGAAAAACATTAATTTAGCATTTGTTTATATGCACATGTAAGATAAATATATATGTAGGATAAATTATGCTTAGTCAAGAATATAAAGAATAGAAAAACATTAATACAATAGTTAATAAAATACAAGTATTTTGACTCTTGTTTTATGGCATCTACTACTTGATATATGGGGATATTAGAAAGTAGTTTAAAGTTTTCTTCTACTTTCTAAGCACATGTTTTGTGAATAAATTAGGAACTCTGGAAATATTTTTATTAACATTATAATCATTTTAGGGCACATGGTCCAGTATTGATCTGGATATTAAAGAACTTTTAAAACTGCATTCTCAATTTATTTGTAAACCTTGAGTCATTAAATGTTTTTAGTTTAATGTTTCCTATTAGAACAGAAGCATTAACAAATGTAGCAAAAAATACATTATATTCTTTAAACCCAGAGATATACCTAACATGAATATTTATTCCTTAAAAGATCTATTTATTTGAAAGCCAGAATTGAGAGGGAGGGAGAGAGACAGAGACAGATTGATCTTCCACCAGCTGGTTCACTTCCCAAATAGCCACAATGCCCAGCTTCATCTGGGTCTCCAACATGAGTGTAGGGGTCCAAGGACTTGGGCCATTTTCTGCTGATTTTACAACTGTATTAGCGGAGAGCTGGATTGGAAGTAGAACAGCAGGTACTCAAACCAGAGCACATACATGAAACAAGAGTTGCAAGCAACAGCTTAACCCAGTACACCACAACACCGGCCCCATGGAAAATTATTAAAAGAACTATTTCTCTGAACTCTAAATTTTAAACAAATTTTAAATAAAAATGATTCTTACATGCTATTCTTAATTTCCTTAAGGAAATTCTATTTTATGCATTACAGTAAAGTCACTACACAAAGCTCCATGAGGGGCCTTTGAAAATAATTGTAAATATATATACAGTCATATAACTCAATTTGCTAACTGGTGATCTAAAAGTATTGGTAGATGTTAGTGTTCTGTAAACATTGTAGATAAAATACTTTGACAAGTGTTTAATCAGAATTTGAGTAACCTGAGCCATTCTTACCCCTCTGCACTCCAGAGAATATCACTGCCTATGCAGTTGACATTCCTCATTAGTGTCACTGTCATATTGACTCATTATTTCACCCAGATGATGAGCCTGATGAGTGAGTTCAGTCCAAGATTGGTTTCTCTTCTCCTTTGAATTATTTTTAAGATATTAACTAACACTATGCACTGGAAAATTTTACTGTAAACCTTTGGTACTTTCTAAAATTTGCAGTTCTTAAAAATTTAAAGTCCCAGTTGCATAAACTAAAATTATTGCTCCAATAAGCTGTGAAATTTCTATTAAAATTACAGCTCCAGTTCTTACAAATTAATCATGTGCACATGGTAAAAACAATAAATATACATTAATTGAGCAAATGAAACAATCATAAAAGAGTAAGATATAAGTAGAAGTGGCTCTTACAGGAATAGCAAACCTATGTTTGATATTGAAGTTACATGACACATGGTAGGGAAGAATCTGTCCTAAAGGAATTGGCTGTGTATTTAATAGGTTTAGTGTTAAAAAGAAACCCTTAATATAACATTATATATTAAGAAAAATATATAACCCCAATATAAAGAAGAAAATATATAAATAGAAATCTCACAATGTCTAACAAGAATAAAACCACTAGTTGCGTATGCTGTGTTTCCATTTTCTGATCGTGTGTTGGCTTTGATTACTCAAATCTGAATTTTGTACACTGTATCCAGTGGATGTTTCAGTCCTCTATTTTCTGGACCTTTCCAGGAAAAACACTATGGCTACTAGCTGTGAGTGTCCCTTCTTGGGTTCCAACTTTTCTGATCTCTGCTTCCTCCTGAGCCTCTTTTCCATGGCTGTGTTGATGAATCTCTGCCTTCATGTAATATTTAAATGCATAGGTTCTTCCATGCTAGATCCTTGGCTTGATTTTTCTTTTTCTTGTCCTCAAGTAATATTATCTATACCATGTCTTCATTTATCCTTTTAAATGAACTCATCTTTTTGTCTAATTTTTTGTCTGGATTTCAGAAGACAAAGATTTTGTACAATGAGAAAAAATATAAATGAAAAAATTAGGTGAGAAATACATATTTATATAAATATAAACATAAAAATATATGGTAATGTTCTACCTTTACATTTATTTATATCTATGAAACAAGACCGAAGAATTCTAATAACTTTTGAAAGTTGAATTTGTAATAAAACTGAGTTTATGAATAACTACACACAAAAAAAGTTAATAATATGATCTCTATGTGGCAAAACAATAGTACACACACATTCCTTAACTGCTAAAAATTACTGGCACTTGAGTTTCAAACTTCAGAAATGAAAAAGTATC